CAGCCCTCGCCGACAGGTCTTGTCTATTAGACGTGGGATGGAAATTGATTAACTACTGTCAAGAGAGAACACTTTATGGGTTGGCGCTAGTGAGAAATTGGAAAAAAAAGGCCAGGGGCTGTCTTACTAAGATAATAGGATTACCTTGCACAAAAGGCCACTGTACACAAAGAACGTTATTGGAAAATAAGGGAACCATCACAAGGGGTGTTTACTGACTGTCTCGGATTCTTGAGGATATTCCCAATATAGTTGATTCGTTTAGGCTATATAGAGGGAGTTATTTAGGTAGATCGCATGCTTGCTTGCAGGGTTGGTATGATCTGCTGTTTGTGATGAAAGTAACAGCGAGTAGGGTGCATACAATTTAAGATTGGATATCTGACATGTATAATTGTTCTACAGGTGAAAAGCCATGCGTTTGCCCCATCACTGAGAAAGTGTTTGTAATTATATCCTATTTTTGTCTTTATATATATGGATGATTCAGATATGTGGTTCTTGAGGATGATGTGAATAAATACACAGGAATTAAATATAATATCTAGTATCACCCATAAGTGTGTTTGCATTTTCAATAGCAGTGAAACGATAAGGGTCATTTGGACGACCTTATGTAACCCCTGTCTCTATGAATACTGTACTTTGACGTATTTTGGCTTTGCATGCCCTTGAAGAGGCAATGTGACACTTTTTCTTCATGCAAAAAAACTCTTTTTGGCTGCCCTGTTAGACTTGCATCTAACTTCATGTTGAGTATCAAAACTCTTGAACCACTGATTATATCAGTTCCTGTTTTATGTAATGTACAAAATTTTTGAAGGGGGATTTTTGAAGATATGTTTTTTTTTATGTAAGCAGAAGTCTTTTGTGTTTTCCTAACAGCCGCACTTTATGGTGATCTCAGGCTATTTTTAAGTTAAAACTGCATTTTTTTTTTATTAAACAATACTAATAGAGCATGCTTTTATGTACTGCTGACTGAAATTCTTTCTCTGCTGATAAATATTTACTGTAGTTATTTTTTTCATTATCTTCTACAGTATGTGTCAATACCAAGTTAGAAACCATCCATTCCCACTTTACATATCATGTGTACATAGCATTAAATCTGGTATACTATGGGACACAGAGATAGGGTGAATAATGGAAGGATAAGCAACCACACTTATCCGTAAATACCATAAAGGAATGTTGATAAGTAATCCAAAGTGTTTTGTGTTTGGTTGCCAACTAGACCTCGCAGATTCAAATAACATGTAATTTAAAAGTGAGTATAATGGTGAATGGAATAGACATTGAGTGAGAGTGCAGTGAAGAGGAATGTGTACCCACTCTCTTGTTCCATGCTTACTGAGCTTTTAACTCTAGTTCTGCTTGGGTAGGTATATTCCCATCTTTTTGATGTTTTTTTCACAGTAAACACTGTCTCATGTGTTAGGTGTTTGGAAGACTAATGTGGCTGTGCCTTTGTAAAGTTAATGTAAGATTTATTCCCCTTGTAACTGTTTTGTTTTTTTATTTCCATGGAAATCTTTGGCTCATTAAGGCTCAACCAACCCTTCAGCTACTGACATATTTGTAGATTGTGATTCATGCAAGGTACTAATGCTTGATATTAGCATCAGTACTGTGAGTAGTACATACGTATGTACGTACATACGTATGTACGTACATACGTATGTACGTACATACGTATGTACGTACATACGTATGTACGTACATACGTATGTACGTACATACGTATGTACGTACATACGTATGTACGTACATACGTATGTACGTACATACGTATGTACGTACATACGTATGTACGTACATACGTATGTACGTACATACGTATGTACGTACATACGTATGTACGTACATACGTATGTACGTACATACGTATGTACGTACATACGTATGTACGTACATACGTATGTACGTACATACGTATGTACGTACATACGTATGTACGTACATACGTATGTACGTACATACGTATGTACGTACATACGTATGTACGTACATACGTATGTACGTACATACGTATGTACGTACATACGTATGTACGTACATACGTATGTACGTACATACGTATGTACGTACATACGTATGTACGTACATACGTATGTACGTACATACGTATGTACGTACATACGTATGTACGTACATACGTATGTACGTACATACGTATGTACGTACATACGTATGTACGTACATACGTATGTACGTACATACGTATGTACGTACATACGTATGTACGTACATACGTATGTACGTACATACGTATGTACGTACATACGTATGTACGTACATACGTATGTACGTACATACGTATGTACGTACATACGTATGTACGTACATACGTATGTACGTACATACGTATGTACGTACATACGTATGTACGTACATACGTATGTACGTACATACGTATGTACGTACATACGTATGTACGTACATACGTATGTACGTACATACGTATGTACGTACATACGTATGTACGTACATACGTATG